CCAAAATGAATTCCATTCATCATAAGTGTATACAGAAAACAATTTACTTGATATGTGTTTTAAATGTTTCAATAAATTTCTGCAGCAGGCGAAAGAATTCAACGTGAGTTGTTATTGAGAGAGAGTTGCTCTTGTTTTATAGCAGATGTTTTATATGTGCATATACCTTGCTCGTTGTCACTGCCATGCCCTTACTGTCTCACGTTAAATAGCGTCAATACCAATTTACGTGTCAGTTATGTTACAGAACCAAGCATTGTGGTCACTACAACACCGGATTCCCAAACAACCAAAGGTTTATCGACTTTACAAACGACAACAACCAAGAGAAATCCAACCACCGTCCTGTCCAGCGGAGTGTCTTCCACAGAAGAGCCTCAAACTGAGTCAAATCAGGTCGAGGCAATACGAACAACTAACGTGGAGCTTGATTTGACAACTGCCTTACTGAAAGATTTACTGTCCACGGCAACTCGTAAGTGTAACGTTTGAAGTCATGTGCAGCACTTTGTAAAACAGAATTTCATGTAGCTTTATGAAAAGGTAATCAAATGTTGAGTTTAAAAGTTAATTAAAAGATTGATTACTTTGCAAAAATTTAAAAAAACTTAAATATTGCTATTCAATAACACATGTACTTTTGCAGACATTGTAGTTGTAAAACCACCCAAAACAAAAGGACTTTTCAATGTTTTGATATTTTATGTGTTATTCAATCATACATTGACTCAGATATCATCCCCCTTTTAACGTGTTTTACCGTTACTTTACTGAAAATGCGCACATTTTATATCTACTTTCCTCTAGCGGAACCCATCAGCAATGAGATCGCGGTGCTCGAAGATTTCTCTGCTTTGGAAGAAAATCAATATCAAAGTGACCATGGTGGGTATAGTATTTTTTAATGAATGAATAATAAGAAAACATCTGAACAAAAAATTAGCAGAATTATGGAACGTGGTCTCCATATATCTTGTCATTAATTTTTCATATTGATTTATTTCAGATTGGGGGCTAGCCGCGGCTATTGGAATCCCCGTCCTATTTGCAGCAATTGTGCTCGCAGTGTTTTCAATCATTTATACAAAACGCAAGTAGGTATAGTATTTTATTATTAGATTAAAATGGCATGAATTTATGAATTAATTTAATATATATCTGTGACGTATTTTGCTGATTTGCATCAGCTTTGATAAACCACTGATCAACGAAACACCGTGTTTTGAATTTCATGCGGGAACTTAAATATAATATAATATAATATAATATAATATAATATAATATAATATAATGTTGTAGATTTCTTGACTTGAATTTTAGTTTGTTTAATTGAAAAAAGCAGAAAGAGAACGTTAATACTTGGCCAGTTGGGTCACGTGACACAGTATAATGGCAACGGTAAATGTATCGAAATGCTGACGTGTGTTTCAGGAGGCACCCACTACGTGCGCGTCTACTTGGGGACCTTTTCACTACGGTAGAGAACCCGCTGTACAAGGCGGGGCTGGAGGACAACCCCAACCCGACCATAGACAAACTGAAGTCTTACAAAGGTAAGAAGGACCAATGACCTATACTGATTTAAAATGTTAATGTAAATGTTAGAATTGAAAAATGTAATGGAGATCAATTCTGTCATTTCATTTTGCCTTTTATAAGACTGCCGTATTAGAACTTAAAGTATAATTTTTGTGCTAAGACAAGTGTTAGAATGTGTCTTTACCAAATGGAATGTAAAAAAGTCACAATTAAATGTTTTAAATAAAATATTTAGAACTGTTATATATATATATATATATATATATATATACAGACTTGACATTTAATATGGAATATTTTTTTCTAAGTAATTTTTTATCAGTTTTTTCCTATTATGCTGACTGATAAATGAAAATAAGGATTACAGTCGTGTTTTAATAACTTTAAATTATCTCTTTGATGTCACTGTGACATCAATTCATTAATGGAATTCGCCAGAGAAGCAAACAAAAACACATTGCCTATTCTATGTCATACGTTTTCCATTAAAAGAGGTATTTAGGATCTCCATATTTTCCAAATTATCGTCTGTAAAAGAGTTATACGCTCCACAAAAGACCCTCATGTCAGGTGCTAGTCACAGTATTGGTCGCTGTTACGCCTGGCCTCTTCTGGCTGTTGCCAGCGCTCTCAAGCGGCAAGGCATTCCTTGGGGTAGGTTTTTTGAGTTCAATCTGGAATAACATTCCGGGCATCGGTCTAAAATTGTCCAATTTGGTCCAGTTTTATTGTAGGACATGCAGGCAGTTGATTCGGCGAGTAATGGCCTACCGAAATATTGTCTATGTGGCTCAAATGTGGCGATTTTGATGACCAGGGTAGCTGCTCATTCCCGTGGTTCTGTAAGTTATCTGCTATTAAAAGTGCTCTGTGTGAACCGGCAACCTCGCCGTGCAACCTAAAATTGTTCCTATGGTGTCCCCTATCAAATGATAGTCAAGTGGTTCCGAGATTATTCCTTAATTTGATCTGGTTCAGGTTTTCGTCGATGACTACCATTGGTGTTTTGGCACCAATGTGGTATCCACTCCAAATACTGACGCTATCAATCACCCTTGTCACTTTAGACCCGGCATATGCTTCGTCGTAGGCCTCTTCTGGATATCTGTAAACTCTGTTTTGACTAATTGGGCGGTACAGGTGAAATCTGACCTCAATAAAGAGAGCCACGCTGTTTCAGTGTTCTACCAAGAAACGATTATGGCCTCCAATTAATTAGAGAAACAGACGAGGATGTTTTGCTGTTTACAGTGGGTGCCTCGGAGGTCGTTTGGTGTTCTTACCTGCTAAAACCAGTTTGGTGTTCGCTAAGGGCTTTGAAAAACGCATTTTGATGGCAATTTACCCCTCGTTCTGAACGGACTAAGTGTTATTTGTTTAGTTGCAGCAGCGTATCCCGAAAGACAGTGGGTCCTGTACCCTGTAGGTAAGATTTTGATACATTGGGGGTGACATCTGTGTAGGTACATCAGTCTGGGCATTACTCTATAAAACTGTGGGGACTGTTCCGTTTGGCGCTATGATCTGTCTGGTAATGTCTGTCTTTTTCGCGCCATTCTGCCATAGATTAATAAATTTTAAATGCACTACTTGACTCATCTTACGCACTGCAAAACCGACCGCTTGCATGCAAAATTTCAAATTCTTCTATGCAGTAGTTGCCGACATATGGATACTTTTTTGACAGAACCAAGCTTTGCCTAAGCCAAGCTTTGACCAGCCCAAAGGAACACTACCCAATTAAATCACTGCATATTACATAATGTAGCAGCGCAACGGACATGAAAGTCAGTTAATTGGTAGCGACACACCTGACTACACACTTCTCCATTCACAAATCTTATATGAGATTGGAGTTTTTTGAAAAAAGAACGCATTTTTGCCTAGGCATACCTTCGAAACTGAAATATTCCATATTAAATGTCAAGTCTGTATATATATATATATATATATATATATATATATATATATATATTCACATTTCTCTCAAAACTCACATATACTCGTACTGGTATGTATGCATTAAACCCCCTTCATTGCAATACCTGGTTCACACCGATATATAGAGTTATTTTGATATATTCATGTCTCTAAATAAAACACCTCAGCATGGTGACAGTAATAACAACCTTACATCATCATTGCAGGACGGAGACCTTTTGCCCGAGATTATGATCACAGCAATATGTACCAAGACCACAGAATAGATACCGTATCGGAATCTTGCACAGATCCAAGCCCCGTTACGACCAGCAACGAGATTGACAGTATCTATGACACCATTGAGGGCTGTTCACAAGATACCATGTCGCCGGTTTTCTCTGAGACCACTTGCACTGGTCAAAACCAGCCTACTGACAGTCAGCGCCATCTATTGGGAAGTGTTGAAACTCCTGGAGGTGGCGGTGATGTTCACTGAGCGTATTCTCGCCTGACGCCTTCTTCAGATCGGAACTGGCTACCGTCTTTTGCAGAAACTGATAGTTGAACATAAAAACTAACAGTTCATTGTCACGAAACACGTTATTGAAATGACGATAATTTGAACATAATGATAAAACCAGATTTAAATGTATGTACCTGTACGTCCGTCCAAAATCAAGGCGATTAACTTATTGTTTGCTTTTATTTAAGTTTTTATTCAATAAGAAAATTCATTAAATATTTCATCGTGATACACCTCTTAAAACAATTGTCCATGTCGTTCTTTCCTTTTTAGCTGTTTATTAAAAAAATTAACCTGTTAATAAACCAAAAACAAAAATAATCTCACGATCTTTATATCGATATATCTGAATGCAAAGATTCGTTCGTCTCGAACATATCACATCGTGTCAACATGTCTCTTGTGTTCGTCATCTGCAATCTACTCTATTAATCAGAAAGTATTGGTTCTACGGGATAAGCTGTATGAAAGTCCAATAAAACTGTCATTATAATCTCCAAAATAAATCCTTCCCTCAAAATTAGGTGGAGATATATTTTATTTCTAGCCATCAGTCAATTAACCTACCGAAAACAACAAACGCTTGGTTCCGTGGCCATCTTGGCTGAAGTTCTTACAGTCAGACAGAGCTCTTCTCGACTTATTGTAATTTATTTGCTATACTTATACACTGAAGATAATCTAAGACACCATTTCTTATCCCGTGCGGTGAGGTTGGTGAGCGCTGAAAATGATATTCCGGACTCAGACGCTTCTGTTTGCGTTAACAACCCTGGTTACAGTTGGTATGTTAAGTCATTTGTTTCATGATTTCAGATAGCTGCAAATGTTTTCATTTATTTAATTCTGTCGTAAGATTTCCCCTAGACGTTTTTGGTTTGTTGTTTATTTTACTTTTAATCATTTAGTTATTTAAAAGGTGTACACAACAATGCCATGAAATCAGATTGAAATGGTCGCGTCAATAGCATCAAATTTGACATCGGGGATCCAAGACGGAATGAACATATTACCACCTTTCTATCATTATCATGGGTGCAACGAGTGCCTGTATATATGTTGAAATAAATGATAATGTTTTTCTACCAGGCGGTCAGCTTTGTCAGGGACCAGATGCAGTCTATTTCAACTCCAAGTGTCTTCAACTGTTTAAAGAACGGAAGTCTTGGACGGACGCTGGGAATGATTGCAAGACTAGAAATGGAACATTGGCCGTAATAGACAACAAGAAATACGATGACTTTGTCAGGGAACGCTATTTAAAGGGAAAGGGACTTCATGTCGACGTATGGATCGGCGCCTCGGCCACAAAAAGATGGCGCTGGGACGACGGTAAGTTGTGCTATTGCTTTAAATAGATATTTGTAACTGCATCTGCTGCCTTCGTGGAAAACAATTTTACATACCGTGTATCTGTACTTTAATTCCAAAAAGTCAGGTTTTAGTCCAGGTGCATGCATTTATAACAAAAAGATGCAATGCACTAAAGAGGCCTCTTTGCAACCCCGCAAACGAAATTTGTGCAAAATTGTTTGAAAATAATAACTTTTGCTGACTCGTCACATCATAATTTTTAGGATGATGAGTCTTATTGAATATTTCATATATAATTTTTATCCCTAAGGCCATAACAATTTGCTACATTGTTACTATTGTTAAAATTATTAGGATAGTGAGTTAATATAATAAAAGCGGCCTTGTTTGGCCAAATCACAAACAACCAAAAGTTTTTGTTGCCTTCTCTCTTGTTATGAATGGGACTATGAAAGTTTGTGGTACACTGGGATGGAGGAGACATAAAAACCAATTGCAGTTCTGAACATCAAAGCGTGCATTTATAAACATTTAACTCTCTGGTATCACCTTGACCAATTTCACAATACACTCCCACCCTTTTCTTGGACAAGTAACTGGTTTTGTTGATTCTAATTTAGATCACTAAGCTAGGATCCCGCTGTACTGTAATTCATATTTCACATGAAACAATGAAAACACTACAGAGTTTACCATACAATACAATTTGCAGAAAATGATAGCATTATATTTTATGAGGAAGCTAGAAACCGCCATTTATATATAGATGCTGAATGTCTATTTCAGACGGGCAGCCCCTCCCCTGGGCGGCGTGGGGACCCGGAGAGCCTAATTTCAACGGCGGAAATGAAGATCGCGTCATGCTGTGGAGAGACTTTGATTACAAGTGGAACGACGAACGTAGAACTACAAGATTTTTGTTTAATCTGAAGGATTCCCATTTTGAGAAATCCAACGCTATTTGTGAATTTAGTAAGTACACTGTGTACTCATAAGTACACCCATAAGATTACAGTCAGTATTTATTCAATTTATTCAGCATTTGATTGTTTTTGTTGTTGTTGCATTTGATTAATGATTTTACGTAACAGTGCCAAATGTCCGGCAATTTTCTATAATTCGGCAACCGTTCTATATTTTAAAGCCTGATGCAGAACCGCATTTTGCAACCAAACGCTTACTTACGTTTCAAATGATGGGTCTGTCGGAGTTATTGTGCCTGGAGCTGGAACATGCAAGATACTAGTGGCTTTTATTTATGCATTTTACTAAAATATTTGTTTTTCGTGGCGTTGAAATGAAATATCTGAAATAAAATATATTTATTTTACAAACTGCCAAATATATACACTGTAAAAACAGTGTTTAGCATTTAAATACATACAACACACGTTAGGCACCTATACGCATTTAGAAATATGTGTAAAAGCTTTAAGCACGTGTAGCTTTTCAAGCGTTTCACAGACGAAAAAGCTAGACACGTTGGTAGTGTTACACGTTTAGCTGTGTGTTTGGCTTCACCGGCATATGATTCTATTACAAGTCTATCACAAGCTAAGCACTTCCCCTGCTAAGCGCGTGAGGCTGCTAAACATATAGAGCTGCTATAGGTGTGGAACTCCTAAACGCGTGGAGATGCTGAACAACACGTTAAGCTTTTCAAGCTTGTCACAGGAAAAAAACAACAACTTCACAATCCCATGTATACGATCCCATAAAAAAGTTTATTACAAGACTCAACAATTTGGCTTAGCACTTCCCCTTGTAAACGTATGGAGCTGTTGGAGGCGTGGAACAGCCTGCTCGAACGCGTTGTGTCCTTCCTTGTATTAACATGCGATAATTTAAAATAGGCCTATTAAGTAATAATCCAAATAAAACATTCACGACGAGATAGTATAACGTTACCATACGTTATGGGTGTTTTTAATTCCATGCCAAATGATGCCCCTGCAGTTTTATAAGACTTTTATAACATTCTGGAAAAAAATTAGTTAATGTTTTGAAAACATATTTTATAAATAACCAAAACACGTCTTATGCTGAATGAACTACAGTTAGCGGTTAATTCCAAATTGGGCTTGGGGTTAGTAGGCGACTAGAGCGGTGCGATTTGTTAAATATTCGGACTATCATTACCAAAATAACCAGCATGCGATGAAAGCTTAAATAAACCATTATAATGAATACCCCACCATCATCCTGATGTTCTATTGTTCATTACTTCCAGAAAAAATAAATAGACATCAATACCGTAACGCATTTTATCAAAATATGAAAAAAATATTTTAAAGTAAAAGTGGTAGTTGTTTCGTGTCTTTAGTAAACTAGTGAATTTTCCTAACTTGATTTTAAGAAATATATTCCAATAACCTCCCTCGCAAGGTCAGCTAACACAAGGATGAATAAGTCCCACTGTAAATGTGATGGTGTTAAGTCAACGACGTTGACAGTTCACGGTACCCTGTTATAGAGATAACTATAACAGATAAAGGGCCAAAAAATAGTATTAAAAACGCCTTTTTAGTGCATGGATTGCTTCTTTTTTAACTTATCTGAGAACAATTGCTATGGGTAAAGCATAAAATGGTAGGTAAATGGCCTTAATCAATATCGAAAAAAAAAAAAAATCATATTCACCGTCCACTTTCGAACGGGGCCGTAGCGATAGTCCGAAGGTTCAATAGTCCGAAGGTTCATTGGTCCGAAAGTTCACTATAAAACCTTCGGACCAATGAACCCTTGATTAAAAAATCGATGAAAATGTTACCACTTTTCGGACCAATGAACCTTCGGACCAATGAACCTTCGGACTATCGAGACGCCCCCCTTTCGAACCACGGGCGTCAGCCATCTTGACACAGTTTGAAATAACGCGAGCGGCTTCTCGACTCAGATACGAGATGTAAACAATGCAGACAGCATGTCGTTTTGAAGGTGAGCGTGGACGTGAAGGAGAAGAGGAATTGCTTACCGAATCTTTGCAGGTAAGCGAGTTACATTTACCAAAAGTACTTTAAAATGGGAAGATGGGAGTGGAAATCAAAATGTCTGGCAGAGGAAGTTAAAAAGCGTAGATAACTGCTATTAATTAACGTTTCCTCGGGTAACGCACTCGCAGCCAAATCACTCGCACTGGGTACGTACTACTATAGTTATATGAAGCGAGATAGTGCACTTTACCCCTGAGGTGTATAGTGCTGTAAAGCAGGAGGAATACCCTTTTCTGCTCAATGTGGTCATCCACCAGTACTTACAGACTAACCTCACACCATATTCTCGCAGGGGAATCCCATGAGATATACGATGTAACTCGAGTACTAGTGGGGATAGAGGGTGTTCTTTGTACAACACGTATACTACAATGTACGTTAGCTTATTTGTAAATTTAATAATATTGTCAATGAATGTGATTATAAGGAATGATTTTTTTAGCCTTTCAGAGGAGGAATTGGGTGATACACCCCTTCAAGCACGAGTGAAGAGATCAGGTATGTTAATAATTTTAGCAGTATAACATGGGCGGATCCAGGATTATTTGAAA